TTTAACTGTCCCTGTACCCCCTTCTCTCTCTCCGGACCCTCTTCCCAGTCTCCCTCTACCCACTTCTCTTTCTCCCTTTCTCCCCCCCCCCCTCCCCCCTACCCCTCCCTTCCTCCATCTCTCTCTCTTTCTCCCTCTCCCCCCTCTCTCTCGCTCTTATCTATGTATATCTATTTGCATTCATTCAAACTCTAGTGAGATTGAATTTCCTTCAAAATACAGTCCCCAGCCCCTTAAGTAGAGAACTAAGATTAATTTCAGAAAACTTTTTTTTTTTCGAGAAAGCACCACAAAACCGTGTAGCTAGACCGGAATGCTGTCCACTACATAAAATAGTGCGAACTTCATTTGATGATACTCTAATCAATATTTCTGTGGCCCCATTATCAACCCCTCTGTTAATCGATCGATAATTGAACTGGATTCCTCATCACAAAAGAAAAACGAAGAAGAAAGAAATATCGGAAATATGGACCTTTCCCCACTTTTATGAGAGGCAATCATTACGTATGATAGAGTTCCTTGACAAAGAGAAGCACGGAAAAAGGGAAGAAGATACGGAGAAATGTGGAAGTCTGACGTCATCGGACGGCATCCACCCAACCGACCGACCGACTGGTAGAGCGACGACTGACCGACTGACGAGCTCCTTCTGAGAGCCGCGCCAAGTCAGATGCGTCTGGCCTGATGCCAACGAGAAACTGACGCGCGTTCGCGGTCGAAACCGTCGTTGCAAGACTCAGTATCGATCGGTTCCCCGGATCGATGACGTCAACCCCGGGCCAATCGATAGTTTCTAAAAAGATGGCGCTTGTTGGGATTAGAGTACTTCTTACGATTCAAAAAATAAGGGAATCGTGCTCATGTCACGATTTTCAGAATTTATGGGCTAAATTACGAAAGGTCAGAGCAGAGGACGTTGCTGGAAAAAAGCAAAATTACGATAGAAATCGAAAATTTGGAGGGTTTTTGGCCTCAAAGTCGCAGCTGCTCATGGCCAAGTTATATTAGCAATTAGCGGCTCCAAACTGTGTTGACGTTTTATTAAGAAATGCAAATACGTGAGAACTTACGAGAACAGCGACTATCCGACTCCAAGCGCCCAAAATCGGCTACAACTGTCTGGGGATGGACCGGACTCACTGGCTTTCAAAGGAACGCTTGAATAAAACGAGATTTGAGAATCAGGAGAGGACAAGAGGAAGCCTAAGGCTACAAATGAAGGATAAGCACCTCGCACGTAAACCTCAGAGAAATCGCATTTCCCGATTTCAGCAGCTGGTGTGGACCAAAAGTGACGCGCCGCGGCGTTCTCAATGGAGCACGGTTGAGTGTCATGGGAGAACTCGTCCGCGATTTTGCATGATAATTCATTCTTTTTATCCGGTCTCCTCTTCGTCTTCGCTACCTCAACCTTTCGTAGTCTATTGGAATCTGTTTGATCTACGTTCTATTCGGTTACTAAGTAAGACGTCGACAACGTCTCTTTCGCTAATCTTAAGGCCTGCCCTTTCATTCAGCCGGTTGTTGTTGTTGTGCCTCGTTGGCTGACGACTAGGCAACTTCGCCTTCTCCAAAACTTGTACGGACTTTAGAACCCAGTGAAATATAAAATTTGGTGATAGTGGTGAGCACAACGGGTGTCAGTAGTGCAACGGGTTAGAGCACGCGTTTCCGGATAGGCGAAGATGTGGGTTCGGGTCCCGCCTCATGCAAAAGTTTGCACATTGCTTCGCATCAATAAGTATATTTATACCATCATACCACTGCTTAGAGCGATCATATAGAAAAGTTCTTTTTGATTGTCAAGACATAAAATTCACAACTGGCGGCTCTGACCAGGCTTCGAAAGGGACAAAGTCAATACGTCAGTCAGCTAGCCTTCGAACGAAAGCAACGACAGCTATCGATACCTTCAAATAGAATTTTTTTAGTTAACCGCCTCTAACGGGGGAATAAAGTTGTAGTTTAACCTAGTGATGTAGAGTGATGTGCAAAACCTAGGCGTCAGGCGGGACTCAAACTCATCATCTCACTCTATCGGAGGGCGCGAGTTCTGACCCGTTGCGCTTGTGGCGCCCATTTTGCTCCCCACTCTTCAACTCAGCTAATTAAGGGACGTTCTTGAAACATACAGTATCAGCTGTCAATGCCGAGATGAATACTAGATCGATTTTTATCAATTAACACGAAATTTTTGGAAATTTGAAGTCAATCTGACTGTGGAAAAGCGAACGCAGGTGATACTATCTTCCTCAAAACACCAAGCATCAGCCAAGCGGAACAAATGTTGACCGATTTCGATAACGCCTGTGGAAAGATTGGTTTTCAATTAGATCTAATACGACTCCGTGTCCACCTTTCCGACTTGACGATTATCACTGCCCTAAAGTATGCAGCAAAAACCTGGTCACTACGTAAGCAAGACAAAAGATCGCTTAATGTTATTGAACGCGCATTTGAAAGGTCGAAGCCAAGACTATCCCGTATTTCGCAAATGAGAGAAGGGATCCGAAATTCCGACCTACGTCAAAGATCGAAGATTAAAGACGCCATCTACACGCCAGGAGGTCGGAAATTAAGGTGAGCGCACACATGATGCGCTTCAAGGACAACCGATGGACGAGAGCTGTTGCCGAACTGGATTTCTCGGACATCAAGCGCTCTACAGGAAGACCACGGACCCGATAATCCGGTTTCTTCACGAAAGCTATAGAAAAACATATGATGCTCAGCGAATCATTAGAACAAGGAGGAACCACTGGGCTACTCATGCGCGCGATTGGGAAAATTGGAGGTGTTGCTGGTAAGCGCTCGAGACACTCGACGATCAACGGGACGACAGGTGATGCGGGTGATGACTACGAAATGGGACGCAATGTACAGACCGCCTTCAAAAACATCAACCATGCAAAACTCAGGAGAGGAACACTGTTCAGGCGAACAGCTTTCAGTTCCTTACTGAGTTTCGCGTGGACAACACCATCTTAAAGGTTCAGCTGCGTTGCTAACGTGCATGTGAAGTTGGTCGAAGGCCCTCTTCATCTTTTGAAACCGGGCGGCTCCGATCCACTGGGACTTGCTGCCAGCCGGAGAGACAATCATGCTACTGTGCACACCTCAACCACTGCAACCTGACGCTATCACGTCGACGTCGCCACGGTCTCATCCTGCTTGAAGACAACAAAAGACTACATGTCGCCAAACTGACAAAGAGAAATTTGATTGAGATGGGTTGGACATGTCATCCGCCATATAGTCCTGGCTTGTCGTCGTCTGACTCTCATCCCTTTTGATCGCTAGAGCACTTCCTGAGCAAGAAGTCACGAGACATCAATCATTAGCGTTGAGGATTGACGGCTTTTTATGAAACTATGAAGGACGACTTCAATGAGCATGGTTGTTTGATTACTGAATTGTTGCCTGGGAGATGACAGAAATGTGTTTAGGCTGATGGCTCATATTCTGAATAGAGCTGTTGGACTATTTTAATTTCTTTTGATCAATAAATTTTGGTGTTTATTGCTCTAGCGCTAAACTTTTGAGAAGACTCAATAGAACAAATAGAATCTGCCATATCAGAATGCGATTTCGATTCAGACATTAGACCGGCATCCTCTTCTGGTCGATCTCGCGACATTTTGCTGGATTATCGACGTCATCTAGCGAATGGCTAGACTATTAGCCAAGAACTACCACTCAAAATCGTTAGTAGATTCTTTTGCTCCGTCCCTCCTCCTTCCCCTCACCGTTTTTGAACGAACAAAAATCAGACCTTTAAACTGCTTTGGCTTTCAAGCACTTGAATACCTATGAAGAACAGAATTTATGGTTGAACTAAGAAAAGCCAAATTACAATCGCAGCAAGGCAAAGGGAGTAGGTTTTCCAAGATTCTTATCGAATTCAAACTATGGGACGGCGAATACAGTTGACGTTGATACGTTCCGTTCCTAGGAAAATTGTTAAGTGATAAGATCGTGCAAAGTATGAATAATAGAGATGTCAAATTGCTAATCTGCCAGTATAGTTAACTACTGTTAATTTGACCCTCTACGAGTATAAATGTAGCAGAGTGGTAAATGGCACGCTTTGCCAAGAAATAAACTGCAAGTTCGTCCCTTTTCCGCAAGACTCTCTTGCACCAAGTGGTAACATCTTATCTCGGCTGTCTTCAGGATTGATAAGAGCTTCAACTCAACAAACAATTCACGAAATTCATGAAAAAGATGGAACAAGCAAATGAACTCGTAAATTTTTTGTTTCTTCATCAGTAGCGCTGTGTTCCTCTCCTATCTTCGCGTTTTTTTTTTCATTCCTCAGCACAGTTTATGAGGAATTTACTACAATCTTCAATTTCTGCGCCTCTATCGCTAAGTATAAACGTTTTTAAAAAAAAGTACGTCATTGACGATTTGCTGAGATATTTGGGTTACCATAATCAGTTCTATTGTCTTGGAAAATGTTGACTGTTATATGGTTTCTTCCTGCATTGACGAGATGACCCCACCCAATGCCAGATTTGCTGCAAGCTACACGAACCTTTGTTGTCCGCCAGTTAATGGTCGACATGATTTAGACGATTTCTTAATTCTTACCTAAGCTTCAGTAAAAGGAATATGCCACTAAGGATGATAAGCGAAGAAAGAATAGTAAAAGAGCGATCGCCTGGTTAGTGTAGTGGTATTATGCGCCCCTTATGTGAGTGGAACCGGCGTTCAACTCCTGCCTGTGGTACAAGGTTTCGCATATCACTCAGCTTCCTTGAATATACGATTATCAGTTTTACTGTTCTGGAAAATGCTGAGTGTTCTATGGTTTCCTCACGCATTGACGAAATGATATCACCAATGCCAGATTTGTCGCAGGTCACAAGAATCCTTGTCGTCCTTCAGCAAATACTCGACGTGATTTAAACGATTTCGTTGTCACCTATGCTTCAATGGAAATAATATAACACCAGAGATGATGAGTGAAGAAAGAGTGGTAAAAGAGCGGTCATACCGCTGGTGTAGTGGTAGCACGCGTCTTTTTTGAGATTGAAATGTGGGTTCAACTCCTACCTGCGGTTGAAGGTATTGCAGATTACTCAGCATCTTTGGATATATGATTATGACATCATAGCGCCGCTATAAAAGCAGTAGAGCAAAAAAAACTCTTCCGGATTATATTACTTATTTCAGCGCCGTTCTCTTCTGATGGACTTGCTTTCGAATATGTATTCCGGTTCCTTGAACTTATTGGTTTGGTAAGGAGTTGTGGTGGAATTAAGAAAATTCCCAAATATGTTCTGATTTTGAGTGATTTTTTATTAGGCCGTCTACAACTATACAGTCTATTCACTTTCGCTTATGTTCCTTAACACTCTTCAGTGGATCTTTGGAATAAAAGGGGAATACAGATCAATACATATTGACTAGATGCCATACAAAGTATAACGACAGCCGAGCAGTTTTTTTGTAGTTTACACTAAATGGATCGTAACCGCTTGTTATCACAGGAAAGAAGTAGGGGAGTATTTTATTGTAAATTTGGAAAACAAAGAAGGTTCATTAGGGGAAAGCACCAGAGTGAGCGTATGCCACTTGAATGTCTAGATTTACTGGAAGTATACTCTTCAGGAAGACATAAGACTACTCAAAGTATTTATCGATTTCATAGATTCAAATAGAAGTCATAGTAGATCATATGGACAGGTAAGTCATAAACTGTAATAGTTCATATTAATAGGAATTATGGTGGGTGAGGTAAAAATGAGCAGGTCATAAGAATATAGTGGGTCACATAAATAGAAATCATAGTACATATTACATTCATTATAGAAGCACCCTAAAATCCTTTAGGTAAGAGCGGTTTAATTTTTGCCAGAAAGGACGGACAAACACACGTGCTTTTCGATAGTGAAGTAATAGGTTAGGGGAAAAAGTCTGAGGAAATGCTCGTAACTTTTTTGTGCGTCTTCCATTTTCTGTGTTTTTGGACTCATTTGAAAACCCGTCTTCTACCGCGTTGTCTGTTATGTAATTTATCTACTTCGTTGATGCGCTGAGGATGATGATGCTGATGCATCTTGATGCGCTCACTTGCCACCGTTTCATTTAAACTCAATAGTCAATCGTGCATTATCAACAACCTACGTTTGTTGACTCCGTCTTGAAATAAGTAGATGGATTATATACCAATCAACGCGAGAGAAGATGGGCTTTCAAATGAGCCCTAAAACACAAAAATGGCCTACACCCAAAAAAGTTACAAGCATTTTTTCAAAACTTTTTCCCGGACCTATTTTTTGAGGTTTTATTTTCTTTTTATTCACGGTATGTTTGCTCTCAGTTATTTCGAGGTTTCTCCTATCAACAGTCCATGTTATGATCATTCGTCATTTTGATGTTGATACGTCGGTGGCTCACGTACGTTTCGGCTGCATCACCGCTTCATCAGAGCCATAAGCCCCACACGAACTTTACTTTATAGAACAGATGGGAAGAGGTTATAGTGATAACATATGATGTTGAGCTATCACCACATCTTCTTCAAATAGAATTGCCAGTAATATCATGTTCTATCACCAAACGTCTCCCAACCCTGCTACAAAGTAGGGTGTAGTGTGGGGCGTATCAGTAAGGATCGCTTGCGTTATCATATCGCTTATTCGAGTAGTACAATAAAGAAGATAGCAAGGAATGTTGCATGAATGGCTATAATCGGGCCCCGAGAAGGCAAGGTTCGTTGTCCACTGTGCTCCTTGTTTCGTCCGCGACCGTATAGAACCTGCAATGACGTGGTTAGTGACGTATAACAATGAAGGAATAGAATTAAACTTAGGTGATTGTTTCTTTTGCGTTGACGTCAGTGGATTGCTAGAAGTTGTTGGCCTCGTCTTGCTGCGTTGGCGACGATGTACCGTCACGCACCGTGGCTCGTGGACGCAGGTTGTATCGTCTTTGTTCGGGTTCATCGTTGTTCTGCTGACTGTCGTTTACGTCTCGGGCCTGTGGTGGCTCCTCATCATCGTTTAATTCGAGGGGAATCAGTAGATTGACTGGTCGCTTGGTAGTACGTCCGCTGGGTAGTCAACTACCTGAGAAAGTCGAGAAAACTTATCTTGATTAGCTGGCACGAGGTTGGTAAATTAGTCGTAGAAATTTGGCTGACATTTCGGCGACCCGCCTTCTTCAAAGCCTGGGCGTATCAGTATTAGTCTACCTGAATGATTCGGATGGTCTTATTTATATGCCACCTAGGTCAGGTTAGAAGATCAAACGAAGAATGGGAGCAAGATGTCGATGGATGGTGACGCACTTGTCCTTCCGGTTCATTTCGGGATTTTGGGTGTTTATCCAAAATGCCTCAAGAGTTTTGCGAGTGGATGTTTTGATTTCTGCCCTAGGATTGTGGCAGTCACATCAAAATCTTTGTTGTTGTGTGTTTGTGCCCTATGTAAGCCTAAAGCTTTGGTTTTATCTGATTTAAATTTACTATCTAGATGCTCTTTCATGCGGATGAAAAGTGGTCTACCCGTTTTGCGTATATATTCTTCCCGCATGTCTTACATGTTAGCAAATAAATTGTGCCCGATCTCATACAATCCCCTCTTTTCCGTTAGGGCATATCATACAGTTTTTTGAATTGCACAATCGATCATAAAGTCTATTGTGGATCAGCTGATGGCGTAGGGTGGGAGGTGGGATTTTGATAACTACCACGGAATATTCAAGACCGCACTTTTTAGGCACCAATCAACCGCGCTACTAATTTCGTTTGATATAAAGGGCAGTCTGAAGGAAACTCTATTCAGGTGCGGAGTATTGTTCTTGCGGAACCTATTTCCACTTTTTGAATATTCCCGAGTAGCAAATGCTTTGTAGCCGTTGGAAATGGCAATCCTTCTGCCAAGTTTAACGATTCATTCGTTTCCTCTGCTTCTGTGCAGACATTTTTAGCCGTTCGAAACATGTTTTTAGTCAGCGATTTTTTCATGTGTGAAAGATGAGAGAAAAGGTGATTAGCCAGAATGTTTCGTGATTTTTCGATGCCATTTTATGCTATAGCCACTATCCAAAAGCTTTACTTGGATGTTTAAGAATAGAAGCCAGCTCCCGTTTGGACTTTCTCGCGTAAATTTTATATGCTCTGACTGTTCGTTCAAAACTTCAAAACATTTCCCTGAATTCCTCCTGTGTGGAACAGACAATGAAACAATCATCTATATACCAGAATTAGAGAAATTGGCGGTAAAAGAGAACTGGAGCTTCCACCTTATACATAAAAGAGGTGGCAAGATTAGGTGCTAAACGTTGACCCATGGCTAACCCCCTGAGTTGTGTGAAGTATTTTCGCGACCACCGAAAGATTGAACAACTAAGACACTGTTTTAGGAGGGTCATTAGTTGTTGAATTGTGAAGCCATACACAATTTTTTTTCATTTTCAGTTAAAAGTCCGAAAATGGCTTGCATTGCAGAGTCATTTGATACTTTTGTATAGAGTGAGGTAACATCAAGTGGCTCCATTACGTGCGTTGTTTGGTTTCGCGCAATGTAGGTGATCTATTAACATTTGAGTATTGGGAGATGGGTTGGTATCAATTTGAGCACCTGAGTAAAAATAAGGTTTAAAAACCACGCTACTCCATCCGTTGGTCCGCCTATATAACTCATGGTACGTCTAACCTTGTATGTTGATGGATCGGTTGACACTAGATCATCAATAGATGTAAGTTTATGTGTTTTTATGAGAAGGTATAGGACCGGACAAATAGGATTTTTGTTTTTGAGCCGAGAGATAACTGAAGTTTCCAAACCCGCTGCCCTTGCCTTGTTGACCTATTCTTGGTTTAGATTTTTATATTGGAGTTTATAATCCTTTTCAGAGGATGGGCGATAGAGGAAGACATCCTGAAGATGTTTTCTCCGTTATTTTGACATCCAGCTGGAGAGGAATTACTGCAAATATTCCACCTTCATCACTTACATATAGACGGATAGATTTTGATCCTACGAGCTTTCTGATTTGGGACAAACCTTGTTTTTAATTGGTGTCAGGTTGGAGCTCAATTCTTTATGCCGAAAGTGGTTGATAGGGTCGAGTTCGCTACTTGGTTTTTCTACCTTGTAAAAGCTTACGAAAAGGGAATGGAGGGTAGTGAACCCTGTCTGTTTTCCGTTAAATAACCCTTCTAATCTGGTCTTATAGCGCAGTTGATTTTGAAGTTTTTGTAAACTGCATACGATCCTGCGCAGGGTTAATTTAGAAATGGGTTTGACTAGGTGTAAAACCTGGACCCAATTCTAATAATGAATGCCTATCATCCGGAAGCGTTACACAACCTAACACAGTGACTCTTGATCTCTCTAAAGCGCCTTGATTATTCAATTTTTCAATGTTGATGCGGAAATCGACGCTTTTACGTCTTAATTTTGATTGATCCAAGAAAGAGAAAACTAACCAAACGATCCATTGTGGAACAAGTGGCAGCCATACATGATTTCATGGGATGGCTTGCACCACTCACGTTACCAGAAAAACTGTCCTACCAGAAGCTATGGACGCAAGACTACAAATGGGACGACCAACTATTACCTGGGCATGTGGTGCAATGGAGCAGAATAGCAAACGCTTTGAAGTGGGTGGAAACACGTGTTTTTGGAAAAATCACCCAAATTGGAATTCTTAGCAAGCTGCTCCTCTTCGCGGAGGCCAGCAAGCGTTGCATGGCCACATGCGCATACCTCACAACAAATGATGAGTCACTTTTCTCAAAGCAAAATTCAAAATACAGTCACTCAAATCGAACACCACGATTCCGAAACTGGAGCTCAATGCTATAACGATGGCAGCACGTCTGGCATACACAATCTACGCGGCTCTAAAGAATCATTCAGGGATAGAAAGAACGACCATATTGTCTGATCGTAATTCGTACTATAATTGGCTGAAAACCAGAACAGGAAAGGATTGCGGTACGTTGGTGGGAACCGAACAAACGAAATACGGCGCACTGTAATCGAGTTGGGCATACCAGTACAATTTGGATACGTAACGACTGACCTGAACATAGCGGACAACATGG